ACGAATGTTAGATGGAGTTTCACTGCCTTATGTAGACATGTTAAACATTTCACAGGTCATGGGTCTTGTCAGTGTTACTCAACTCTTGGTTAAAGGTGAGAAGAATCTCCACGCCTTGCGTTCAGTACTTGATCCATCCTAGACTTCAAGGCGAGGAACACAGGTATTTTATAGAATCAATAGAATCGGTACAATTAACCCATATATTCACGACCAGGGCATATCATCAACATAGGGTCGGTAGCGGGGAGGGAGCCTTATGCTGGAGGTCAGAAACACCGTTTATCTCTCCCTTCATTTACTTACACCACAATCAGGAAGTATATACTGTGCTACCAAACACGCAGTCAAGGCGTTCACAGGATCTCTATTAAGGGAACTTGGTCCGTGATATCTTATTCTATAATTTGATCCTAATTTAGGTTCCAGTTGATACCCAAATCCGAGTGACCGAGATCCAACCCGGTATGGTGGAAACTGGTAATTGATTTCACCCGAGTAAGATTGTCACACACTCATCAATTATCGCGCAGAGTTTTCTAATGTTCGATACCGAGGAGATAAGGACGCCGCTAAGAAGGTTTATCAAGGTTTAGAGCCTCGTATGTAGACAACTGAGTGGCCTGAATTGACTCTAACCCTTCCCAGTGACGGCACAAGACATTGCGGAGGAAATTGTTTGGGCGGCCTCGCGGCCTGCCCGCGTGAATCTGGCAGAGGTATATGTCCTTCCTGTCAATCAAGCCAGCCCTGGAATTGTTTATCGTGGACAATAGCTTGCCTGTATATATCTATAGAAGGCACACTTATGGGTCTTGCGCGTTGATCAAGACATTACCTGAAGCACCTCTGCCACCTTTGAATTGAAATTGACACATCTTGCCGCCAACCATGTCACTCTTCGATGCCAGCGATGAGATAGAATCTGTTTTGTTCGTTCAACGCGAAATGTCTGGTCAGCAGTCATATATTCTCGTCCTTTTCATCCTGGGTCTCATACATTCGTCATTATGTCAGTCTACAAGGTCCCTCCTTTGGAATCGATGGCCGGTTACAAGGAATGTGGATGCCATGCTAGGTCACTATCTTTGCTTTTATTAACGAAACAACCATATAGGCGGCTGAATGGGGACTAGAAAACCCCTTGTGGAAAGGGCGCCTGCGAGTTCTAGAGAAAGAGTCGACCGGTGTGGTTATCGTCCTCGAAGATGGTCAAACGGGAGCTCGTAACTAAATCTCTCCTTACTCATACGTCACTCTCATGACCGGATATTGCAGCATTCGCCAGGGCACCCTATACCGATGATTCTGCTGTCCAGCCTGTACTTGACTCGAGTCGCTATTTTGTCTTGAGAGTGCAGGACCCAAACACGGGAAATAAAGCCCACATTGGGATCGGTTTTACTGATCGCGCAGAATCATTTGATTTCAGTGAGTCCACCGCTCGTACTGGGCATCTCCTTGATCCTGACATAGGGAAGATGTCGCTCTACAGGACTATAAGAAGTAAGAGCATCATCAAGCAGTTCACTTTAAGCTAACTGTAATTCTCAGACGGAAGGAGGCTCCTGCCAAATTGGAAGAGTCAGCTGTGCCTAGTCGACCAAAGGTGGATTACTCCCTGAAAGAGGGCCAGACGTTCAAGATTTCAATACTAGGAGGGAAAGCGGCATCTAGCTCCAACGCTTCTTCCTCGACCACAGCGTCCAGTGGTGGGGCGATTCCTCTACTCCCACCGCCACCTGGTGGGGGACGCAGGCCCTGAGGCGGGAAGAATTGGCATAGATTAGTTTCTTTTGTGATTTTTGGCTTCACCTAACCCTACTCAGATGGCTTTGTCGTCTGCAGCTTCCGTGTGCTGGTAGCAGCAGTGTTCGATTCGAGGCCTCTTTACATTTCTGTACAGCATGACATAGTAGATGAAATTTAGGAATAACATGATACGCATTTGTGAATTGACGCCTGGTGGCCCTGTCCCTCCCTATATGGCTTACATAATAAAGTTAAGTTGACCGACCATGCACCGTGTACGGCAACTGTATAGCACAAAGTTTTGACTTCCCGACTACAACTCCTCATTCCCTCAGATGCGACAAGTCGTGAAAAGAGCTATCAAACCCACTTTTCAACCTTGTTTTTACGCGTTTACTGCACCAAATTCTGTAGTTTCAACCATAACTGAAGGCCCTACACCAAGCACTTCCCAGCCACACAAGACCACAACCGAACCCCTAAAAAAGCAAATCGGTGTATATGATGCAACTTTCGATGTCGTCAAAACCATGCTACGTTTAGGACGGCCAAGAAAAGCATTAACCGAAGCCAATCAAAGCTTGAGCCGCGAAGACCCCAGTCTTGTGAGACAGCGGTCCAAGTTCTACTCCAAAATCATAGACGAATTCTTGGAAGCTGGGGAATGGAGCAAAGCGTACGGCCTCTATTGTCGAATGAAGGAAGAAGACATGCCTCACCAGTCTAAAATCCTTCGAGAACTAATACGCTCTAGTCTCAGGATGCCTTCCAAGCCCATTCAACTCGAAGGAGTTCTCCAAGCCGCCATAGCTTCATTAGAAAAAATCGACGAGCCTGTCCTTTGTGCTGTGCTTGCGCACCTCATACGTTCACGCACAAGCGACATGGTGATCAGAAAGTACTATCGCAGGTACAAGAAAACACAAACGTCTACCTGGAAACCTAGCTGGCAAATCTGTGCCTTAATGTGCCAATCGGCAGCGCAGCACGGTTTCGACGATGAGGCGCTCGTTTGGCTCGGGAAAGGAATCGTAAGAGTCACCGTATTGTCGAAACAAGGACAAATGACAGAGGAGATGGCCACGAGGGCCAAGCAAGAGGTTTTTACCAAGCTACTTGTTGGGTCTGTCGCGTTCGACAATAGAAGACCCTATCTTACTGCCGAGCTAATTAGCAAAATGCAAATTGCAGGCGTTCCACCAACTCAAAGAATAGCAAATATATACATCAAGCAGTTCCTAGATCGCGGACGCGTCGATAAAGCCTTCCACTTCTATCGTTCAATGCGACATTCCACTCCCCCAATCACACCCAACTCTTTCACATTTCGTTCCCTATTTTATTCCCCTAATACAACAAGAGATTGGGCTGCGATGTCTTTAGGGGGTCGACGCTTATTCAGAGACATGCTGCGCCTACACCTTGGCTACACTGACCACCAGCCACACAAGAAATCAGATGTTATCAACACCGAAGTTCTTAATGCGGCATTACGATTCTTTATGATCAGAAATGACTATGCTGCTGCCACCATCGCTGTTCGATCTTTCCCTGTTTGCCGCATCCCCGCAGATGCCCGAACAAGGCATTTCGTCCTATATCACCTGCTCAAACGTATACGAACCGAACTTTCGACACCTTCTCGCAATAATACCCTGAGATGGGCGGACTACATGCTCGGAGAAGTGGCAAATTTTTTGGCAGATATCCGACACGGCGACCTACTCCGAAAATTGCTTGCAACAGTGCAGATGACAACCAGGGCGATGATGGCTCACAAAATAGACGTCAGACCATTACTTGCCTTGTTACGTAGAGCCCTCCTAGCCACGTCTTGCCAGATGCCGGGCAAAAATCCAGAGTTAAATGATCGTCTGGTTGGTCGTCTCTTAGATTCTGCGAATCGAGATATGTTACCGCCTAAAGCTAAGGATACGGGTTCTTGGTTTATGACACCAGTAGCTATAAGGATATAAATATTATAATTGTATTATCAACGATTAATAGACCGCTTGGATATCAGGAGACTGTACCGAATCTGAGCCTTACTCCCTACCTCAACTTGCCGTTCTCATTTGTTGGCCATGGCCACTGGCCGAAACCGCTCTGGGACGCTGGTGTCTCAACTTAGCTCCCAGCTACAGATGTACCCAGTGCAAAGCAAGGATTGTGTTAACCTTCAGGCGTCCATTCATGTAAACGGTAGTGGTGGATACCCGAACGTGCTTCTTAATCGAGACTGGTGGAAAGACGTTCAGAATGGAGACGTGATTGAGTTGAAAGGAGGTCCCCACAAAGAATCTTGTGTTTTTGTGTTGGAACCTACTGACCCCGCCGGCCTACCACCCAACATCCAGGTATGAAGCAGTTTACTCGTCTCTTCATGACTAACCAAGTGTTGTCGACAGGTGTCCATCTCACAGGATGTTGCAAAGTATTTTGAATTATCTGCCGGTACAGAAGTTACCCTTACAAAGGTGGGGTACGCGTGTGATAATTGACCAAAAAATACTTAGTTTTTGTCTTAGATCAGGCCAGAAAAATACGCGGCAGATGTCGTAGAAGTAAGTGTGTATGTACCTCTCACTATTCATTTGCTCATTGGTTGCAGGTGTATTTTAGCGACCAATATCTTGGAAGGTCTGTGAAAATATTCATCCTCAGGCGAATTGCTTATATGTACTAAAGACCAGATATGTGGCGCCTGAGCTCGTCTTTGGTTGGGAAATGCTGGCATACAGAGCAGCGAGTACAATTCGTGGGCTGCATCTCCGCAGTCATTAAACACCTTTTCATCAAACAGCGAGAGGTCGGTACAATTTAACAGCCAATGAGCTCTCAATCCTGACATATAATAGGTTAAGGCGGCCTTTGTAACTCCAGAAACCAAAGTAATCTATCGCTCACTAACGGCTAAATGTACAATCTTCATTCAAGTATGCCGAGAGCTGTGGGACTTTGCGGATGATGGAGAAAGATATTATGAGAAAGTCGTGCATTCCTTTCTGCCTACTCTTTTCAAGAAATGGAAGGAACTATCGACGAGACACGTACTCACAATTGTCCTCATGTCCCGGGTGTTCTATGATTCATCCGACGTAGACTATGCCGCTGGTCCTGTCCAGCGTGACGAAGATGGCCGTGACTACAAGGATTTCTTCAAAGTAGTCACCGACATTGAAGTATTGGATGACGACAATCCCACTTTGAACACTATGAAGGAATCTCTCATCGCTTTTCAGAGGGACATTCTATTAACACACCATTATCACCATCATGAAGGGAAAGACCAACCACCCCGGTTGGTAGGACAGCTTTCATACGCCCACGACGGTCCCATCTTAGAGGCCATCAATCTTGGCCTTAATCCTACAGAATCTCACTATATCG